AAGCGGTTGTGAGGTCGAAGGCCTTGTCGTAGGAAGCTCGTTGCACAGTCGTGCGGTCAGAGGTGGCGCGTTTGAGCGCCTGTGCCAGGAATAAGGTTTCCCGAAGTCTCCTCGAAAATTTTGCATGCCATCGCGTCAGGGCTGCGTCGTAAAATCTGTCGTGCACCAACAATAAGCAGGAATAGCGGCGCGCAAAGCGCGGGTCGAGCACGTAGCTCACTTGCCCAATAAGTTGCTTGGGCTCCACCCCCTTGGGGGTCCAGATCTGCAGCGTCTGCCTCCAAGTTTGTAAAGAGGCGTGGGTGTCTTCTCCAGTTTCCTCCACATAGAGCTCGGCGAGGACGTCAAGTAAAGCATAATATGGTTGCATAGCCAGTCTGTCTTCCAACGGTTGGTCCTGCTCAATCCTGATCTTGTGGTCTTGTTGCTGGGGGTCGCGCCAGTAACGGCGGCCCTGCCGCATCTGATCTCTGAACTGGGCCGCTTGCTGTTCAGTAAGAAATTCAAGGCGAACCATCGAAGAAGAGGAAGAAACCATATGATTGTGCATTGCTGCCACCTGGTCCCATTGTATACCAGCAGCTTGCAGATAATAACCAACATTTGCATCCAGGGTCTTCTTGTTGAAAATGGGAGGTAAATCCAGCAAGAGTATTGTTTTGTTAGCCTTGGCGCGCTCCAACACCTGCAGCTGGGTGGAGTGCCTGTCCAGGGTATACTGTGTCATAGCAAACTCGTGTTGTGCCATCTTGTAAAACTGGTCGCAGCATAAGTGCAACTGGTCCAGGGAGGGAAGGATGCTCTTCTGGTGGTACTGCAGCATGGCCTGCTGCACATTGTCCTCCGCCGTCAGGTTTGGCATAGTTCGTTCTGTGATACTTCCAAAATCTCTCTTCTTGGTGGTAGCCTGCTCAGTCCAGGTGCCATCTGTAGGGTTGTAAAGTCTGTCCGTGGTGTGAATTGCCAGAAAATCTCTTCTTGAGCTCTTGCTGCTCCGAAGCTTGTTCGCAGTTCTGGGTCAAGGTCCGCGAAATTGATGTCGAGGTCCACGAGCTTAACTTCAAACTCTGCCATGTCTTCTTCATCATCTGTCCTCTGCTTCTTTGGTGGCGAGGCCGGCGATGATTTTGCTTTCGCCTCTGCTTTCTGTCGTTGCCATTCCCGAAATTGCGCCATCTCCTCTTGATCGAACATGTCAGCCGCCGGTGGCGGCAAGACTGGTGGTGCCGTAGGCGCTGGCAGTCCTGGCGCTTCTGCCTCCATTGCTGTCGGTTCTGTTGGGGCAGCCGGCGGCTGCTCCTGAGTGTTCTCTTCTTCCTTCTTTGCCATGGCTGCGACGGCCATGGCTGTCGACCGGAAAACCTAGAGTTAGGCAACCAGCATGGACACGAAACTGGGCAATGTGCCTATAGAGAAAACTGTGAAGCCTAAGGGCATGGGAGGTCTGCGGAAGTGAAGTCCTAGACCAAATCAAAGTTTGAGCACGCTGCGCTCTTTGAGCGCGGGGAGGGTCAGTGACCCGTCACTGTGCTTGTGCCAAACGCCTCCGAGTTCCCCATGAACAACACTATGTGGGCAGCATTCTTGACCCTGCTGCGAAATGTCGAGAGCTCCAAAGCTGGACTGCTGGCATCTTGGCGAGCTTTTTTGGCTGCTTACAGCTGCTCTGCAGGCACTGCCTGGTTTGCCAAGTGTCGCAAACACGGCATAGAAAGTTGGATGCACGGGTAAAATCTTCGGGGCCATTTGTGGGACCCAAAACCCGGTCAAAAACGGTGGCTTTCAAACTGGGCCGCCCCAGTGCCGGATTATTTTGCTTCGTTTGATCAATTGCATAGCTGCACAACACTGTTGCTGTCGTTGTCTCTGAATCCTGCCTGCAGCAGCTCAAGCTGCCACGTTGGCTGCGTAAACAAGAGAGAAACTGTGAAAGATTGTGACCTTCACAGCAATACCTGCTTGCAACATTTTGTCACAAACCTGCATCCAGAAAGAGTGAAAAGCGGGGCCAAAAATGGGCCCGGAAATTGGGCCTGTTTCTGGAGCCTGCTAGTACTGGCACAATTACCGAAGGCTCAGAAAACGGACCCATTTTTGGGCATTTTGGTGCCGGAAAAACCCCTCTCGAGCTCGTTCTTGGAAGGACACGGATCGAGAAATACCGTCCAATACCACCAGTTCTTCTCTAGATGCAGCTGGACAAGTGAAGCACCCAGTTACCGCTTTTTTGAACACACATTGGCTTTCAACAGTCAAGTTGAAACCTGCTACATATAGTCTTACCAATTGCAGCTGCAACTGTGCCGGATTATTTTGCTTCGTTTGATCAATTGCATAGCTGCACAACACTGTTGCTGTCGTTGTCTCTGAATCCTGCCTGCAGCAGCTCAAGCTGCCACGTTGGCTGCATAAACAAGAGAGAAACTGTGAAAGATTGTGACCTTCACAGCAATACCTGCTTGCAACATTTTGTCACAAACCTGCATCCAGAAAGAGTGAAAAGCGGGGCCAAAAATGGGCCCGGAAATTGGGCCTGTTTCTGGAGCCTGCTAGTACTGGCACAATTACCGAAGGCTCAGAAAACGGGCCCATTTTTGGGCCCGCATTTTGGTGCCGGAAAAACCCCTCTCGAGCTCGTTCTTGGAGTCGCAAACTGGACACGGATCGAGAAATACCGTCCAATACCACCAATTCTTCTCTAGATGCAGCTGGACAAGTGAAGCACCCAGTTACCGCTTGTTTTGAACACACATTGGCTTTCAACAGTCAAGTTGAAACCTGCTACATATAGTCTTACCAATTGCAGCTGCAACTGGGGAGGCCACCCCCCGCGGACCCCAAACCATACCAATTTTTCGGACCCAAAACCAGGGGACACCTTCCAGCTCAATTCAACGCATGGCAAACAGGACAATAAGTGCCCGGTCTCTTGCAGGTGCTTCCAGGGCTTTGTACGGAACTGCGGAGCTGCGTGGCTGCCAAAGTCATTCCCCCTGCACGTACTCTTATGAGATGCTCTGGCCTGCTACAGGTGGGATTATATTAAAAATATTATTTTGCAACTATTTTGCAACTTTTTTGCAACTCCGTTTTGCAACTCCTCGGCCCGGAAAAATAAGGATTGCAACTTTTTTGCAACTTTTTTGCAACGACAATTGTAGCTTAAAACACTTGAATAAAGCTTCTGTAATAAGTAACGCACACAGCTTTGCTGACGGTTAACGGTGGCAACATTCAATTCATCGTCATGGTTGCTTGCAACCTTGTTCCCAGCAAACGACAGGGCTAGCTGTTAATGGGGCTGGTAGAACAGCCGAGGGTCCAGATTCGGTACACGAATAAAGCCACACATTAGCAGCAGCGGAAACTTGGGCTGGGCAATACTAAACAAGAAATGGTTCCTTATGCTTGAGCATCAGGCAAGCCTTGGGGAACCTATCCAAGCCGAGCATCATGGTCATCAGCTAGGGCAAGGGCTGGCTATATAGCTAGAGCCCATGGCTTCATGAGCATTCACACGAGCTGGGGCTCCGGTTGGTTTGGGTTGTTTGTTTACTGAGGCGCACCTGATCTGGAAGTGGCTATGTGTAGGTGCCTTTTGTTTTCTGCAATCAGACAGCTTGTCTCAGCTGCATCGTTTGACCAGTTGGTCAGAGCGAGCTCTCCCAAAAACCAAAATATTACTCATGTCCCCACAGGGTTGGCTTTACACTGCAACCAGGTTTGGCTGATGGCCTGAAGCGGGGCTGCGGGGCTGAAGAAATTTCAATAATCAAAAAGTTGTCTATGTCTATGTCTCTGTCTGAATCTATGTCTATTTGTCTGAGTCTAAGACTATGTCCATGTCTCCTATATCCAATGCCCCTGAGTTCAATACGCTGGAGCTCTGAATTGTTGCTTGGCCCAACAGTAACCCCCAGATAGAAAAAAACATATGAAAACATGTTTATTCTTCCTCCATTCAATTCACTCAATCATTCATCATTCATACATCCATGCATACGTGCAACAGACGTATAGGCACATATACATAAACATATTTACACACACAGACACACATCACGGGTACGTATGTATAGCACACACATATACATAGATATATATATATATATATGTATTTATTTACACACATACAATCATCTATGCATATATGCATGTCATGTATGCACATAAACAAAAACATATATGCAAAATGGCCTATATTCATCTACACAAATACATCTGCATATATCCGTGCCATAGACATAGACATAGACAAAGACGAAGTCGTAGTTCCGTAGCCTCGTAGACATAGCCATAGGCATAGGGCATAGGCATAGACATAGACATAGACAGCTGCGCTCAAGCTTTACGGCAGCAAGAGACAGCTTGCGTTTTCTCGGCCTGGTTCGCTTGCGACAGTGTTGTCTGGACTTGGGGTCGGTTTCAGGTCTCACACTAAGGGTCGCGGCAGCTGCAGATTCCAAATGGCTCAGATAGCAGAAGCAGCAACAGTGCAACTACAGTAACTACAGTACCTACCTACAGGGACCTACAGTGCTACAGCTACAGCACAGGTGACTTGGTAGTTATTCTCAAGCATTAGGATTAATATTAACATCAAGGGACTATGCGACTATGGGATACAGTATACAGCTGCTGCTACAACTGCTGTCTGGCCACTTCTTTCTCTTTCTACTTCTACTGACTGAGCCTCAATATTGATTCGTCTTGGCTAGTCTGCAGCACCTGGACCCTCAGTAGCCGTGACCTCCGAAGCGCGCACACGCACAAAAACTATTGGAGGCAGAGCCCGGTACCCGAACACTATGTCACTATGGCCCTGGCGACTCGAGACCTCCATCACACACGCAAACAAGCAGCGTTCGTTGAACTCTCATGTGCAGAGAAAGTCGGCACTTGAAAAACCTTCCGAGGGTCACGAGAGCATAGGCGCAGCCGGCGTAGCCAAGCACCCATGTCAAGCGACCGTTGCGATCGAATCGAATCCGATGGAGCCCTCACCCCACCAGCTTCTTCGCGGACTCAAGCATGTGCTTATGGATGTCGCCCTCCGTGATGCCAAGCGTGTTCTGCCAGACAAAGGCCTGCTCTTGCAACAGCACCTGCTTCATGGACTTCTGTGCCTCCCTGTCGCCTTCCGTGCGGTTCTGCTCTGGCGTCTCATTGATCAAAGTCATCTTCAAGATGGCGGTCATCATGAAGGATTCAACCACGAGCAGCCTGCCAGGCTTTGCAGAGTCCTCCGCAAGCTTGTCAGCCTCCGCGATCAGGGCCTGGAACTTCTCCGAGCATTCGGATGTGAGGCCAGCACCTCGTCCATAGAGCTCGTGCTCCGATTTGCACGTGCTCAGCGCCTGCTCAAAAGGCTAATCAACACAGCAAACATGACTGCAGGGACTACTGACTCTATTTACTCTGTTTTTGCTGCTGCAGGCCTCAGCAAACACGCAACAGGCTGTGCGAAGCTTCTTCCCATCCACAGCTTGCATGAGCACTTTGCAAGGCTCCACAAGCTCGTTGACTTTAGAGGAGTCCAAGCCCTTCCGCCAGAAATTGGCACCAGACTTCTCGAAGCCCTTGCAAAGCTCCTTGATGGCTGCACCCTTGTCCCGCAAGTCCTTGGCGAGCTCGGTGATCTTCTCAAGCATGTGCATGTTGTACACCTCGTTGCCGGCATACTTCAACTTTGAGCTGCCTGACTCCCCGAGCCAGCTGATGAGCCGGAGCAAATCATCCCCAAAGTCACATGCCACATCATCCGCACTCGGCTTGAGCTGGTCCTCGTGGATCTTGGAGGCGGTGTCATACAACGTTGACAACTTCTCGAGGAGCCCTTTCAACGACTTCAGCTGCTGTTGGTACCTGGCTGTGCGATCATCAGTAGTCCACTGACCAAGCTTCCCGATGCCGCTGGCAAAGTTGCTGTAGACCTGCAGCAAGTGGAGCGTCGTCTGCATGAACTTCAACATGCTGGCATCGAAGGAGCTCCCATCGCCAGAGCCAGACGGGCCAAACACCAGCTTGGCCGTGGCCAATGCCCCCTTTTGCGCCAGCCGAACTTGGTCGGCGTCTAGCTTGACTCCTTGCAAAGCCCGATTCGCCTGGCCGCATTTGAGCGACGAGCCGTTCAATCAAGGAATCAAGGGCACTGTGATTGTTGTCAACACGGAACCAATCAAGAAACGGATCTGAAGCTGTACTGACTGTAATAATACTGAATACAGAAGAATCGACGAATGCTTTCCCAAGGACTCCCCTCAGATCATTAGACTCATTCGACCATTAAACTCATTAGACTCCCACGTCCCACAGCAGACATGATGCCGTGGATATTCGCCCACGTGGATTGGCCTATATACTAACATATCTTTGTATCGGCAATATCCACAACAGTGTGTCATTCTCACTGCTGGTCACTAACAGAATCAGCATCAATGAGACGCTGTCACACAACTTTTGACTCTTGCCAAGCTAACTGACTGACTGACTGATTCCCAATTCGACTATTGATCACTCGACCAACCAAAGGCAATCATTTGTAGTAGCAGTAGCAATAGCATCATTAGCACGCAGAGTGGCAATAATTAGCGACAGTGATGGGCATTCACAACCGTGAACCGTGAACTATTGCGTCATGCAGTCCAGGACCCTAAGTACTAAGTACTAGGATCTAGGGTCGTCCTACACTGCCCTAGCTAGGGCCCTGGTGCTCCAAAAACTTGTGCCGCCGTTGAAATGCAACACAGGAAAAATCACTGTACGGTCTTCGCGAAATGCCCACCTGATCCACGATGTGCTGGAGCGCACAGAGCAGGAAGTGGGAACCAGCATCCTGGAAGGTGGCCCTCGAAGCACTATCAAGGATGGGAACGGTCTCGGGCAGCATCTCCATCGCCTTGCCGAAGTCGAGGTTGTCTGCGGATGCACTCGTCCAGTACTCCAACAGCCCCTGCAAGTTGCTCGTGCTTTTGACGGCAGTGGCCCACTTCTTGAAGTCCTCGAGCACTGACAAAACGCTAGGGAGGTCTGACAAGTCAGCCAAGAGCTTCCACACGGTGTCCACAGTCTTGCTTGCACCTGTTGACCCATCACCTTTCACGAAAGCTTTGGCCACGTTGCAGCACAGAGCTGCAACCTGCTGCTTCAAGACCCGAAACTGGACCTCACGAATCCCAGCCTTCAACTCATAGAAGTGGTCTGCCACCTCCTGGATGAGCTCGGGCGAAATCGCCGACAGGCTGGCATCGTCCCAGGTCAAGGTATCCTTCAACACACTCGAGAGTCGTTCCATCTTCGGCCTCAGCAACTCCGCACTGCCTGCCGTGACCGTCAAGGCCACAATCTCAGCTGCCCAAACCTCCTTTTGCAACACCGTTCTGATGCTTCGGCGGAAGATGTCCTTGCCCTTGTACTCTGTGAACTGGAAAACATGGCGTGTTGGGTTTCCGTCTGCGAACAGCTCCGGCTTGTTCTCTCCAAGCAAGATCAAGAAGCACATCGCCATGGCCTTCACGGCAGAGAGGGCATCCGCTACCGGTTGCATCTCTGAGCCTTTCCACGAGACACACAGGCTCTGCCAACTTTCCATCGCTGACAGCACACACGTGCACACGTCGGAGATCTGGGCCGAGCATGCCTCCCGCTCCACAAGAAGCTTCAGCCAACCGTCAGACAAGAAGATGCTCGTGATGGCTTCGCAAGACTCCTGCAACACAAGCATATATAATCATAAGACCATTACAATCATTCCACATGAAAGGATAAGTTCCCAAGATGCCCATCTACATTTTCTAGCAATGAAGCAATACAGAATCTAAAAGCTACATAGCACAGAATTCTTCAGGTAGTTGACTGATTCTATATTTCTATATTCGACTACACCCTAGACTAACACTGTCCACTACACCCGATCATTATCGGTATCGTGACGGTGATATGTAATTTCTGCATGAGGCTGTTAAGCAGCCAAGAAATGTTTATATGTTTAAAGATTCAAATTTTATCCTTATTCGCCAATCCTTTCGAATGGAATCCACAAGAAGGAAAACTTCATCACTGAATTATTTCAACAAATCATCAAATATCAATATGACTGATAAACTAATTCAGGGTCCAGGTCACATCACAAGAAAGCCAGAACTCGCTGACAGACTGTGTTCGCGAACGAGGGATTGCACAACTTTCGCACCCGAAACGGCCAATGCCGAATGAGGCGAATGCCAAAACAAGATGCTCATCACGGCCAAACACATCAAGAGCAGTGCCTCAATCCCCCCAGGGTGGGAGGGTGGGTCAAAATTTCGTTGATGCGTGCTCTGCCTTCAGAGCCGTAACCTTGCATGACAAATTCAACATCGTTCAACATGACTGAGCAATACTGAGTATGACGACTCAAGAAAGCATGATGTAAATAATACTGCATGCACGAACTTGGCTTTCCAACAGGTCCCAGGTACTCACAAAACCCAATCCAGAACCTGAGACCAACCACGGGAAACCGCTTCACGTCTCGATATTTGTTGAGCATCACCCTCCCCCCCGCCCACCCAGAAACCCCGAGCTACAAAACAGTCCAACAGGGCGCACCCAGTAAGGCATAAAACAAAACAGGAACAGAAACTTCATTCACTTGATTCACTTAAGGTGTCCGATATCGGACACTTTAGGGTACAATCACAAACAGCATGGGCTCATAGGCCCAACCCACATAGGCAACACCCAAACTGAGTCTGCATCACGGAGCAATCAACGGCGAACATATCACCTGTTGGCACAAGGATAAGAGGAATCACAAGCGTGAGATTCCTTGAAAAATAACCAAAGGGACTAGCACTCCGTGAAGCATCAACCGCCTCAACTTGTTTCAATGTAACATGCAACTTGTTCACTGTGACGGCCCTGTCCTGGATGCTCTTCACGATCTCAACAAGCTGGTCTGAGGGCTCATCGTCATCCTCTCCGAGCACCCTCGTCGCATTGTCAAGCTCAGCCTGGTCCAATTCCTGCAGCAAGCCGGCCACGACGTGCTGGAGCAGAGGGTCGGTGCCACTGAACTTGTACTCCAGCTCACCACCATCCAAAGGATCATCCCATGTCAAATGCCGCATTGTGGCTTTGATCCCATTCATGGGGTCCGTCTCATCCGTCTTGCTCTTGGACGACTGAGCAGCCTTCGCTGCACACATCTGCACACAGGAGTCCGCGAAAGACTCGCCTGCATACCGAGCACAAATGCGGATCTGCAGCACCCAGGGGAACTGCTCCCACATGCTGGATGAAATCCGCACACATCGCTGCAACATCACCAATCGCAAACTGATTGCACCCGAGACCCAGCCAAGGAGCTGGGCGAGGGCATCACACAATGTGATGCGCTCGTCCAACAACTCACATGCAACCTGTGCATCCTTCGCTTTCTTGAGGTTGTCCAGGATGCGCTTTGCCTGGTAGCTGCTTTTGCTTGAAATGGAACAACTGCCAAAGCTTCCCTGTCATGCAGCCGTGCATGCAACCGTCACACCCAACATCTTTCCCCTTCTCAAGCCATACAATCCCTACAGACCTACAGAGTCACAGTTTTACAGTGTACACAGCCGCCCAAAAACCCGCCGACCCCCTCCGTTTGCCCTTTGCCTCTGCTTTATACAGTTTCCGTCACCGTTAGCGTCATATAGCCGAGACGCCAACTCCCCAGAGCGAATCCTTGATGTCGTCGCCGTAATCATCCACCACGTGGTCGTGTCGTAGTAATTCAGCTACTATTACTGGTGCTAGTACCAGTATACTAGTACTATAGCACTAGTACTACAGTACAGGGACGAATGCTAACGCTAATGCTAGCACAAGTACGACTAGTAGGCTACGGCTAGTAACGGCTAGTACGGCTAGTAATATAAAGAACTGCTAGTACGCTGCATTTTCATTAGAACTGGTCCAAATTCCAACAACTGAAACTCCAATCCGGGTTCTGGAAATTCATCGAGATTCCCTGGCCGACCATCAAAGCCCAGTTTCAGTCCTTCCAAGATAGTTTGACACCGTTCCAAATGCAAACCATATGGATGTCTACTAGAAATTAACTTAAAATGCTTTAAACGAGACTCCTATAGCTGGATTTGTACTAGAAGTTGGATGAAATTCCCTGGGCCGAGCATCCAAACCCAGCTTCAGGCCTAGACTGCTGCGTCTGCGACATTGACGACGACAATAGAACCAACTATGACATCTCATTCATACGAGAAACGTCCTGGTTCTACTACACTACTACTCCCAGCTAGCTGCTTTCTGCTCCTAGTCCTAGTGCTGAGGCGGCTAAGCTGCTGCTGCTAAGTCTTCTAAGCTAATCTAAGCAGTCTAAGCCTAAGCCCGGAGCCCTGAGCCAAGCTGCTACTGCTTACTGCCTGCTACTACAGCGACGGACCTGCCCATCACCTGCAACCCACAAATCAAATAATCAAATGATAACCATGATTATCTTCATCTTGATCCCGCAGCGACTCCAAAGACGAATAACCATCATGATTCTTTTGATCTTCATCCTTTCACCATCATCTTCATTGCAATGAACACTAATCACTCATCCTCAAACTGTCACAAACTGAGGACTCGACACCGTTGATGATGTTGTTCAAGCCCTTGGTGTCAGCGTTCAAGTCGATGTACGCGGATGGTACCAGGCCCTCCAGGCTCTTGGTCATGGTGTGCGGGTTCACGGCATAGTGCTTCTCAGCAACCACCCGCATATCATCATCCAGCGATGCCAGATATCTCTGGCGAGCGGTTGCCTTCCCCGTAGAAGACTGCTGGTCACCTGCCTTCTCAGACTGACCAGCCTCAAGCTTCACGGCCTTGGAGGGTTCGTTCTTCACCTCGGCCTTGTTTGCATCAGGAGCAAAGTCTTGAAGTGCCGCTGCCAAAGTGGCCCCCGAAGTCTTGCGCCGGGCTCGGGAGGTGGGGGGCTTCTTCAAGCCGTCACCTGCGGCATTCAGGTCGATGCCTATCGCCATCACTTGAATTGCTGCCATGTCAGCAGGGTTCTTCTCACTATCGATTTCGATCTTGATGGGCTGAGCCGGCTGCGACGAGGAGGAGGCTTTCGCCGCTTTGGCCTTGCGAGCCGCTTCGTCTGCCTCCTCCTGCTGGCTATGAAGCACTCGAAGACCCTGTAACGTGCTTGGCCTGACAGCTGTTGGGCGAACCTCCTTCGGCCTGCTTTGCCAAACAGAACCCACGAGGTGGCTGAACAAGTGCTTCCCCTGATTCCGGTGAAGTTGCGACTCCGGTGTGAGGGAGGATTGCTCCATGTTCGTATTGTGGTCGGAATAGATTTCCACAGTCCTGTAGCCAGCAATCTGGCTATGCTTGAGCTCGGCCATGTCTATGAGGACGTACTTGGACAGATCGTTGGGGCTTTTGAAAGGCAAGGACACCGGAGACCTCTGGATGTGCTCCGGCTGGTGCTTCAAGAGTTTGCCGTACTCCTCAACGGTCAAGCACAAGTAGGTCTGGGAAATCCGATAGCCAAAAGAAGCTCCTGTGAAGACATGCGCCAGAGGGTTGAAGTAGGGGCGCAGCTGACCGTTAGCCGCCTTGACTTTAAGCACCTTCAAGCTCTCGTCAAACTCAATGTAAAATGTCGGATCTGACACAAAGCCAGCCTTTGCATGATAAGCGGCCTGATGCACCTCCAGGTAATACTCTGGCCTGATGCTAAAGCAACAGTCACAGCATGTCACACACGTTGGCTGCACCACGATCGGGGACATTGGCTTCTGGTAAAACTTCACATCGATGAAAGCCACTTTGGCCTCCATCAAGTGGCTTATGACAAAGATACCAATACAGGAGGTCAAATGCAACAGCTAACAGCTAACAGCTACCACATGTAACTGAGGCAACAACTGCACTTGCAACAAGTCAACGGCTGGCTGGGGGAAGTTCCTGTCTCTGCTAGCCACGTCATCTACTCGAAAAACATACCCGCACTCAGCTTCAAGCGGTCTAACATTAGGAGCGTTGACTGTTCTTCGGCGGGCCAAGGAAACCAAACAACTAGCAGCCTGAAATCTTCAGAGCAGCACTGGCATGGGTACTGCTACTCAGCTACACTCCTACTCAGCTACTCTGCCACTACAGTGTAGCTGCTAGAGCACTCAGTTACAAGTTACAGCAGCTACACAGCTACCTAGCACTCACTCACTATCACTCACTAGCCACTAGCAGCACTAGCACACCCGTCAGCCCGCCTGTGAGCTGGAGACACCGCAAAAGAAGCAGATAAGAACCAGCTTTCGTTTCTTGGCTGCTGCACTTTCCTGCGATGCCTCTGCGGGAACAACCTGCCACGAGACCGGGGTGACACCCTCGCCGTCGCCGTCCTCGCCCTCTGTGGCCTGATGAGACAATTGACTTAAATACTCGTCACAATTATTTCCTTTATTTATGTTACTAGGTTACTACCAGGTTCCGGTTACTACCAGGGTACTACCAGGTCCTACCAGTTACGCCTTGCTAAACCACTAAGCCTCACTACTGTAGGCTAGCCGTCAAGGAATATAGGTACGCCAGGCCCCAAGCTGTCTGTGACCCCACGGGTCCCTGCTTAAGGCTTAAACTTAAACTTGCTTAAGCCTACGGCTTAAAGCCAGATGTTCATCACCGCAGCACCTCCTGGGGTTCTTCCTTGGCAGCCGGAGGCTGCTCAGCATCCCTTTTCTTGCCCATTGTTCGACAATGGGCCTGCAAACCGAGCTGCACAAGCTGGAAAAACAATGCCTGAGCCGCACCTGCCACAATAAAGAACATAAAGAACCGTGTTCACTCCGAGTCGGTTGTCGGGCAGAATAGAAGGGCATCAGAATCAAATCACAACATGATCGGCCAGAATCCACAAGCTTTCATGTTCCAACCCAAGGCCTTGAAACAAGACCAGAGGCCAAGCTCAGGCAGTGCACACTGCACCACCAAAGTTAGTGTAACTGTATGCATTGGCCGAAATGCTGCACCTGAAAGTTTTCCCACATTGGCACGACAGTCACGACAGGTCACTTTCGATGCAGCTGGCAATCTGATACTTATGACGTATAATACACTTGCCATCGCATCATGCGGATTGCCCACACGTGTCTGTTGAGTCGTATGTATGTCGTATGTCGTATGACTGGCTCAGCACCGAACACACAGCCTACACTACACGACTTGTTTGTTGACAGCTTAGCCCCTAAGCCAAGCTTTTTGGAGCGGTCTTCATTCTCCAAGGCTACACGGCTAGACTTGTGGCTAGACTCTACGGCTAGACTGACACGATTACAATGATTACAACCATGCAGAACAAACCTCCTGGACCCTCCATCCACAAGACCTGAAGCCACTGTCTGTTTAAGCCTAAGCCTTAGCTGCCTTAGCCTTAGCCCTAGATTTCGACCGAAGCAGCCACATTAGGTGTAGTGAAGTGTAGCCGCTTTAGCCAGTTGTGTGATCTGAAACTGCTGTCCGTCTCAGTGCTCGGTCCTAAAGTTCTGACCTGCCTACTCTGAAGATGCTCCATAGCTCTTTATGCCCAAGTAACTAAGTAGTGGTTACGGTTACAAAGCCAGCCATCCAACAATATACTACTGAAAACGCTGCGTACTGAGTAGCAAACGGGCAAACGCGGCAAGATTTTGGCTTGTTGCTTGCTGAGACCTGCTCGGGAGCCTTAGAACACTCTTCGCACAAATAGAGTGGTGGACGCACGGGTCACTTGTCAGTAGGCGCTAATTGGTTCCAACTATTCTAGCTTACTAGCAATTACTACTAGCAGCAGTACTACTAGCATGAAGCTACACCGCCCTCCACAAACAAATCTCTAAGCCCTACCCTAGGCCCTAAGCCCTAAGCCCCAAGCAAAAGCAGCTCTCCACGACACAGCTCCGAACCGCCAAGCCCAAGCAAAACCGTGTGTGCATGCCTGCCTTGGCAACCGAACAATTCAATAACTTAACCACGTTGCGGTTTCGGCGATGGAAAAGCTGATGAAATGAACTAATCCCTGGTTTTCGTATTCTGGCCGTTGTGCCTGTACTGTAGTGAGGCTTCACATGGCTTTTCAGTTAGCAAAGCCGAGCCCGGTGAACCCCTGGCCCTAGCTGCCCTAGCTAGGCTACGCCGGCTAGGCCCTAGGCCCGTAGTTACCGTAGTTTTATTTAGTACTTACTACTACTTGTTACTAGACAGTGGAGACAGGCCCAGCAACCAAACGCCAAGCCCATTTCATGAAACGACTCACGTGGCCATTGTCACATAGGCACGTGCTTGGAGGCCCTTTTGACTTAGTAAGTAGGGTTAGTAAGGTGGGTTATGGGGATTATAATAGGGTTTCTAGGGGATACTAAGTAGACTTACTAAGTCAAAAGGGCCTCCAAGTGTGCAGTGCACACGCACGTGCTGCTTCCGGGTGCCGCGGGTGGCAGCAAAGCCTCGGGAACACGGACAGCGGCCAGCGGCAAAGCACAGCAACACATTGGACGTGATAAGCAGAAACCTATGCGAATGTTCCCTAGCTCATGAAGCACAACATTCAATGGCCGCTGGCTGCCAGCCCAAGCACTCGGCATTGACAGGTCTAGATCACCTGTGCATCATCTTGACATCATGCGCGGCATGTGTGCAGTAAGAATTATGAAGTAGTCTTCTACGTCTAGAACTACGACTCTATGACGATGCCTTCGGGAGTTGACTATCGGCCTCGGTTAGCTGAGCTACAGTCGAAGTGACTACCCACTACCACCTACCCATAGCACATACGAATCTATTGCCACAATCGTACCAATATACCAGCTATACACAGTGCAGCCATGCGAAGTGTAAACCGTAAACCATAAACCATGCATCCATCGGTTAGGGGCCACAAACCTCAGGCCACCTCAGCCACCTCCCATAGCATGCCAGCAAAAAACTCGAGGCTCAAGGCCACAGCCAGGGCCAGGGCTGTTGGGGCCAGGATCTGCCGACACTACTGGGGGATCGCCTACTTGCCACCGTGCTGCAGCCGCAAAGGACAAATCTGCCAAAACAATATTAGTTTACTAGACGGTTATGCGGTTAGGGCCTAGGGCCTAACCGTTAGGCAGGCCATGGCCACCAGCCACACATGCCCCTGGCATCTTTGATCACTGTATGACCCTCAGTGCAATCGCGAGACTCGAGACTTTGGCCGCAGCTTGTCAATCTATCAGGAGCTAACGGCTAACGTCATTGACTTGCAAGTGAAACCCGAAGACAGGAGCTCTCATGGCAAGCAAATCCTAAAACTTCCAACGAAGCAACCAGTCTTACTGGAGCCGGAGTCACCCCGGGACCAAAGCGAAATAATAACGAAGGACATAATGTTAGGATACTTAAACTTGGATTGAAGACTCCGACTTCCACGTAATTGATGTTCAACCGATTCTACCAAGTTCCACCAGGATCTAAGTTAATAACTAATATTCTTTCTAATTTTATTCTATTTCTTCCTGATTCTACCTGGCTCCTGGACTCTACCAAGAAACGTTGAGTCATCGGCAACAAGTAAGCTGCTACCCTCTCTCAAGTTGAGTGTAGTCTGTAGAGCCTAACTAACACCGAGAAGGAAGCCTAATTTTCCTTTACCTGCTACCGGGCAGGCAGCACGGGTCCCAGGTGAGGCAACAGGAGGTACACTTCACTACCCGAATACTACCCCTGGACACACTTTGAGGGAAGCAATCATACTTATTCTTTTCAAGGCAACCCACAAACGATGGGGCATTGGGAAAGAAGCCATATTAGCTTACCTTGGAAACCTCGTCATTTTATATTAATGCTGCTTACGTCAGTACGTCAACGATACAAACTTATACAATCAATGAACTAGTGAAGCATTCTACTCTATTGTGTACAATCTAGAGTCTTCATCCACTACACCACGTCACACGCTGGCACATGGACCAGATAACGGCGCAAAGCATCGCAAACTCCCAAAGCTGCTCTCGACACTGCCTGCACACTGCTACTGCTACGGTGCCAGAGCGGCTGCTACAGCAGTTAGAGTTACAGTAACAGTAGCAGAACAGATACAGAAGAAGAAGATACCTGTGTCTCTACTCTGTTCAATGTCGTAAGAAAACGAAAATAACAGATCCAATTTTTTCACTAGTCACTAAGCTCATCTTGCAGAATCTTACATCGGGCTGACTGCTGGCATATACCAATCTACCAGTCAATATGGTGAATGTAGCTGTCACAGCATAGTGCCTACTGGGCTCGTGACAGTCGTGACACCACACATATATCATATATCCTACCTGAGATTTCACACCTGGTCTGTATCACCATATTCAAACAAAGTGCACCAAACAGCACTTGAGAGCCAGCTGAGAACAAAAAACAAGCTTTCCACACACACGATTGGCCACACACTGCCAATCCGTCTGAAAGCTCTGGACTCTAGAGGCCGGACCTTGCACAAAGGAATCCACACCTGGAGCCTGGTGCAGTAGATGAGAAGCAACACTATGCCACTATGCTCTGCTAGTAAGTAACCGTAACCAAATGAACAGTGAAGAAACAGCAGGCAATCAAGATATTCATTGGACTATCAGATCAGTCGACTTTATTCAACTATTAAACGTAATAAACCTATGAAACGATGACATGTTCTACAACAGATGATTTGCACTCTTCGACAACTGGCACTTCTTCAGCTACTCGTCACCTGCACCGGGCCTCCAAATTTCTACGCTGACTCGAAGCAGCCCACAGCTTGAAGACAAAACACGATTGTCCCAAGACAAGGCAAGCACATGCCTTCTCCTGCCAAATCATGCAGCTGAGACTGCTTGATGTCCGGTGTAACCTTCAACTCTAGTGAATGGCCCTGGAACCGCATCAGTTCCACAGGCAAGACTGCACGGTCTTGGCCATGGCTGTAAAGGATTGAAGATGTCGTCAGGCACCGTGTGGTGTTGGCATTGCTAGACTTTGTATACGGCTTCCTATCCGGATTCTGGCTCAGATCCGTAAAGAGCTCCAGACACAAGCCCTTCACCTTCTCTGTGTCATGGTGGACTTGTTCAAGCATCTGTTTCATTGCTTCGGCCCCACCGAAATGAGCGGTCGAGGCAAGATCCACAAGACACTTCTGACGTGCACTTGCTGCCACACCCTGCAAACGGATCCCTGGCAGGCTCGTCCAAGGCGCAGCTCCAGGGTGAAGGCCCAGAGCCTGCGCTTGCCGTGCAGCCTGTTCCTGCCACTTCTGCATCAGAACCATCGCTGGCGGCCGCCGCACCTGGCAGAGTCCCATCTAATCATCTAATCATATCTACCCTACCCATATCAACCCAAAATTCCCACGGGTCCCGCGACCGATGCAAACCAGCACATGGTTTTCACCGGCACACCCAGCATGACAGTTCAATGCGCTAAAGTAAACATCACTTCTCGACGACTGTCTCCACAAACACATTTAGGAGTTTAAGCATGACATCCTTCTTGAAGTCCAAGGCCTAGGCCTAGTCTGACTCGGTCTACACGTAGGCCCGTAGGACTAGGATGCGTTGGACTCGCAACGTCTCGTCTAGGTTTGAAGTCTAAGTCTATCATCATCACTATTGCAATCATCATTGTCAGCATCACCCAGACATCTGCATATCATTGATTTCAAGTGTTTCATTTAAGTGACGAATATGATGAAGAAGACGGCACTGATCTGATACTGATAA